AGTTATTCTGACTTTACAGTTAAATGTTAATTGAAAATTCAAAAATTATGCAAAGGGAATATCTTGGACATCCGTGCAAAAGAGAGTGTCTGAGAGTTTTGGCAACACTGACCTCCATAAGCGTAATGTTATTTCCTTAACTTGAAACAAAGAATAGATTGTATTGTTTTTGTAATTTCTCTTCTCCAGGAATTTGGTGGTCTTCCCCTTTTCCTTCTTTCTGTCGGAACATACATTAAGGCTTTCTTTGGCCTTTTTTAGATGAATTTTAATAAAACTGCAATATTTTGTAAAAGATAAACCATTTAGCAAAGGAATTAATGAATATTTTTGAATTAAAGTAATTTTGTAAAAATAAATGTTTAATTTGAAAGTGTACCTACCTCTTCTTGTTTGCTAATGAATGAAATGAAAAATAAATTTAAAGGATATAAATTTTATTACTTGTGGATAGAAGTTTCATTTTAGGGGAAAAATGATGTATATAAATCTATTTATTGACCACAAAATAAAATAGATTTGTTAACTTACTTTTAAGTCTATTGACATTATTATTGAAGTTCTCACCTATATTGCAATAATGAAAATAAATTATCTTTATTAGATTTTTATATTATTTCTTTAAGATGTTTTAGTAAAGATTTTCTTTTGAAATAATTTATTTACCACCACTTTATATTCCTGATCTGTGTTAGATGATTTTTGTTTAACAAAGTCACCAAAAGCTTTTTCAATGAAGGTTTCTTCTAGAATTTCTAGAAGGTAGTTTCCCCTAGAATTTCGAGTCTTTATGGCAGTAAATTCACTCGTTGTTATATTTATATTTTCACTTTTAGAGCCGGTTGTTTTATCTGAGACAGTTTCTGCTTAATTAAACGGTTTGGAAAATCGAAAATGCTGGGTGAAATGCTTGAAGCAAATTTTAGAACTATTTGATGGTTTAAAATTTTCACGACGCATCGCTATAATCCATTTTTTGCAATGATGAATCTTTAAGAAATCTAAAACAGTTTATTTACTTTATCCATCAGTTTTCAACGTAATTATAAAATAAAAATGATGTAAGACTCTCATATATATGTATCTAAACACTTTGGATGCTAAATTTCAGGTAGGTTTTCGAAGTTTAATTTATAAATTTTTTTTACCCATTAAATGATATATCTGTCTCCTTTTTGTGTCGCTGCGTACAATTAAAGATAATATGATAATTAAAAAATAATAATATACTGAAAAAATTTTAATCTGGAACTTAAAACTTATAAAAAGTTTGCAAATACCTATAAGCACTTCTAGTTTCTGCCATAAACTGACGTCACGCATAGTGACGTTTATGTTAGCTTATATTATGTTTGCTTCCTCTTCGAAACGGGTGGTATAACATACGGCGTGTCTATAAGCTTTAGCGGTCTAAAGTCTTAAGGTGCTTATAAATCGAAAACATCTTTGTTTTGTTGTTTGTCTACGTTTAGACTTTTGTACTGCACATAGTTGACACTTTTTGCACACCAAAATGTATTTTCGTTTTTTAGACAAAAGGTTGAATTTAGAAAAAAAATTGTATAGGACTTTTTTGCTCTAAATGGTGCCTTCTGCCTATACCTTTAAAGAACGCACTATTTTCGGGGACACCCTGTATATTATAGCTTTAACGTCATTTATTACATCACCCGATAAAATCTGAGTAAGTTTGTTATTCCATCTTTGGCAGCCCACTCCACTTTCTCATTATCTATTACACCGGCATGTCATTTATGTCCTTTTGTCCATATAAATTCCACGTAACACAAATTATTTTTTATTACATAAAATTGTAGATTTGTATGAACTGAAATCTGTGTTTTCAGTTCAATTGCATATATTGCAGATCAGGAAACTGTTATCACAGCTTTTTTAATATTTTGCATTGCATCCATTCTAGAGCGTTTTCGATGGCTATAACTTCAGCTGAAAAGATTCTACTAACTCTTTGACAGTTTTAATTCAATATATGAGTCCGCTAGATGCAAAACTCTGTATTTGCAAAAATTGAGTTTTAGCTGACAGTTATTTGTCACATGTTATAGCTATCTGCTGATGTAGAAATTCAGCAGCAAAGTAAGGTATTTACTAAGAAAAAGGCATTAGAAATCTTGAGTCAGACGCAAAACTCTGTATTTGTCAGCCTATGCCAGTTGCATAACTGTGTAATTGCAATTGGCCAATCGCTTACATTGTTTGAGTCACATGACACGTCTCATGTGCACATGTCAATTATTCCATCATTCGCCATTACCGGTTTCACTGTTTGTTATTTGAGTACTAAAAACACCAAGTTTATTGCAAATAATTAACATTATGGATCTTCATGTGCATATTAGACCTTGTGAAAAAGGAAAAGGGAGAAAACGAGTTGTACAAACAGAAAAATGGAAACGAAATGTAATGAAACTTAAGAGGTAAGAGGTGTCTACAATTAACTAGATAGGTTTGGGACTTATTGTCAATATTTTTAGGTATAAACCTAAGGATTTACCCGGTTTTCCCACCTGTAACCATACAAAGAAAGTGTATTGTTGTATAGATTTAAAGATGCGAGACATTCAGCGTTTCCATAATAATCTGTATTCAACAACTGACAAAATAAAACAAGATATTTTTTTGCTGAAATTTTGTGAAGGTCAAAAGCCCAAGAGATCAGGTACAAACCTACATGGAATTTCAATTAAATATTTTGTTCCTACAGTAGAGGGTGGACTTTTAAGAGTATGCAAGACAGCATTTCTTGGAATAACTCATTTAAGTTCTGAAAGAATAGAGCTTGTTGTAAGAACGTTTGTTATCCGGGGTGAAATACCAAAAGAGAGAAGAGGGGAGATACAACAAAGGTAGATTTGATCCAATAAAATTATCTATCCAAACATTTATGGGGCGTTTGAACGGTGCAGAGAGTCATTATAATAGAGGACGATCGATTAGATTGTATTTACCATGTGATCTGAATTTTACAAAGCTTTACAGAATGTATTGTCAACGTCATCCACATCATTCCGTAAAGTTATCATATTTCCGAACATACGTTAATGAACACTACAACATATCATTCGGCACTCCCTTAGTAGATGCTTGTTCTGCGTGTCTCAGAGCGAAGGAAATTTTGAGAAAAGAAAATTCAGAAGAAAAGTTAAAGGTTATAACAGAGCAGAGAGTTCATACGTTAAGAGCTAAAGCCTTTTATTCTTTGTTAAAAAATGAATCAAATCATAACATACAAATATTTTCTTTTGATTGTCAAAAAAATCTTTCTTTGCCAAAGCTTCCCGACCAGGCGGCTTATTTCTCACAGCAAATAAATTTTTATAATTTCACCATCGTGGCTGGAAATTCGAAATCTCATCTTTCTTCTGCAAATGTGACGTCATATGTGTGGCTGGAGTTTGAACATCCAAAAGATTCAAATGCTGTTGCCTCTGCTGTACATGAAACTCTCATAAAATTCAACTTTAAAAATCAAATCGAAAAAGTTCACCTATTTGCAGATAAATGTGGTGGACAGAACAAAAATAGCACGATGATGTCTATGATAATCTACTGGTTGGTTTATGAAGCACCTGGTCACATCAAGGAAGTGCAGTTTACATTTCCTGTTGTTGGTCATTCTTTTTTGCCACCAGATAGGATTTTCGGTATGATAGAAAGGGAGATAAAAAAGAAGAACGTTGTAATAAACAGAAAAGAATATGAAGACATAATTGGAAAACACTCAAAGGTGCTGAGACTTGGTAAAGACTGGCAGATATCAGACTGGAGAAAGACGAGTGACGTTGTTGTTAAAAAACCTTCCCAGTGGCATTTTAAATGTAATGCAACGAAACGATTTATATTTTCTAAGGACAAAGATTATATGGCTACGGTAAGGGGGGAAATATTTTATCGTTCTGACATAGAGTTCAGCAAGTCTATAATACGAAAAGGGAAAAAGATTTCTTTATTGAAACCAAAGTTACAACAGATTGGATGTTCATTGAAAGGAGATAAATCGTCCATAGGCACTCTCCTTAGAAACCATTTTGGTGAAAATTGGAGACCAGCCGGATCTCAAATTTTATAAAATTATAGATACTGGCGTACAAGCAAATAATAACGAGAGTGCTGCAGAAAATGATCATATTGATGATGAGGACCCAGAGGAACTTAGAGTTTAGGAATTAATATAAATATATACATATTATAATTTGTAATACCTTTTGTACTTTGGATAAAAATAAACTTCACTAAAAGTTTACTTCCACATGCTTTCTTCCTTATTCCTAACACACTAGGTTTAGAAAACATACTAATATAACAACCACTAATATCGTTAATGGTTGACTATTATCATGTATTTGCAAATGTTAGTTGCATAAATCTGTATTTACATAGTTCACTTGCAAAACTCGGTATTTTCAAATTTTTCTTCCTTTTCTAGCAAACCCAATAACTTTTCTAAGAAAAAAATCATTATATTTTACCTAATAAAGCATTTATCTATCACAAAAAAGTGCCATTTATTATGTCTAAGGTTTTTTGCAAAATTTATCAGTTTTTTGCAAATAACTCAGTTTGACTTATACAGTAAATACAAAGTTTTGCATCTAGTGGACTCATATATAACTAAATCAGTTACTTTTAAACCTTAAACTATTTTGATGATTGTTTTAATTTATATTTCACTGTGACACTTGTTGCAGGTGAGATGTTTCAATGTTCTTTTTTTCAAGGAAAGGTTGGGTTCGTTTTGTTCTCTCATCTTTAATTGTTCCAGTTGTTGTTCCACTCTGTTAGTGCTTCAACTATAATTGTCGGTTTTTATCCATACCAATTTATGCCATTGTTGTTTCATCTTGGTGCTGTGGTAGGTGAATTTGTATATCATACTTATAGATTTGGTCTCTGTGGTACAGCAAAGTGATTTGGATATGTCTTCACTAAATTTCAGTTTTAACTATGGATAGAAATGACAGACAATACGAGACATATATCAAATATTTTAATTTGTTTAAAACATTTTAGACTGTTTATCAACAAGATATTTTTATGTATAAGGATACAAAACTGATTTTAACATGGATCAAGAAAATGTTGTTGGCATAGTATATATCTATGGACATTAAATTTTAATCTGTTTAAAATAAATAAAAAAATCTTACAACTATTGTTTACTTCTAATCGTAAATATTCACCCACATTCATACACACAATCAACTGTAAGCCATTGGAAAGTAAAGCATGTTTCATTTTTTCTTCTTTTTCTTTTCGACTCCACCAACTGAAGTGTCATTCTTCCGTTTCTGTGAAGATTTCGAGCTGATTTGGGCAGGAATACCTACACAATCAGAAATAACAAGATAAATATTCAAACAACCAATTTATATTCTGTTTACAATATGTTTTATTATAATAGTATTATAAAACCTACCTCCAAGATTTGAAGATTTGGAGACTTTTTTCTTCTTATCAATTTTTTCTCTTTCCTCCAATTCGGCATTTTCTCTTTCTATTAACGTAATCAACGTGTTACATCTCCTCTGCAGTTCCATGGCAGTTCTCGATTTTAAGAACCAATCAAATCTACAACATAAAAATATTACTAAACAAATAAAATAAAAATATTAACAGAAATAATCTATTAAAGAAACGAGTTGCATCATGCATGAGTAAAAAACAATCGTCAACATAAGTCCAAAACCATATATCATCAAAAATATCGAAATACTATTAAGGAACATCAAACTAATGTCAAAACGTGACAGAAAGGACTAAAATATGCCTTCCACAAGCCGTTCATCATGGTCAAAATTCGTAGTGAATTCAGTTTCTGGTACTCTAAACAGAGTAAAGAAATAAAACATAATGACGGTATTAGATTTTTATTTCAATGCAAGGCGGCGGCAAGTTGCTGATACGTATTTCAACCTCTTTAGGTCTAATCAGTGTCATCCTGGTGCCTTAGTCGTGGACTAATACGCATCCTGATGCGCATCGTCCCGCCTTTTAATATCTTTCGAATTTTCTATTGGCCGAGAGATCCGAAAATGCCAAATAAATATAATTTTTGAATATGCAACATTCTTCGGATCTCGGTCAGTCTGGTCTCGGCTCCCAAATAGGGTCTGTGCACCCTGAGAGTCCGATGTCGGGGTGCTGCTCCGGTTCTCCGAACATTTTAGACTCTGTAGTTGGACCCTGTCCACCTTCTAAACTGTTTCATTTATTTCCCATGTGAGAAATGTTGAATTATCCACCAAGATGGAATATACGCAGAGGGCACTTCAAATAGACTGGTCGAAGTCCCTCTGTAAGGCACCTTGGAAGTGTATAAGTGGCCATACTTTAACAAGCCCTTAATCCCGTACGGTGATATGGCGGCCAACAAAACACACGAGCCTACGACCCAGGCTCCCACCGAGTTCAGCTAAAAGCCCCACAGTAGCAGCAGCTAATGGTATTATCGACCGATTTTTCAGTTCCTGAGACTGTCCAGTATTGGAGGTTTCAGCGATCGAGAAGTCACCGAAGCCACCAGTCCCAGAAGCTACTGAGGCCCCCGGAGTAGCCGCGGAGTCACTCCCTGCCCTACTGCATTGTAGATATACAAAGTCTTTATCACTACAGAGATATGGAAATCAGTGTGTTAGAGAGAGAAGGATCTTTTAGTGAGTAAGAGTGAGATAGATGATGTCACGTCGAAGGAATCTCCTCTACCGTAATTCAACTATTATCCGCTAGGTGGCACCGCCATTTTGAAACATTTGCCATTTTTAGTCCAATGTAAGCTAGTTGGCGCTACTTTTTAAATTTAAATATTAAGTAAATAAATAAATTATTATAAAAATAAACTAAAACAAATAAAGATTGTAGATATGTAGTGCCTAAAACGCTCTTCTTCTTTTTGGCGACTGTCTATTGTTATTTTTATTTTTTCCGCAACTGCCAATTCTTCTTTTTCCGTAGAGTCATGGAAAATAAGGATTGTAGGTATGTAGTGCCTAAACGGCTTAACGTAGAGACATGAGCAAGATAACATGTGATAGACGAATAGAATTGAATGGTATAGGCACCACGTAGGCACATGCATACCCCCTACTAAGAAACCGGCTGGCAAATGATTATGGGTTACTGATGGCCTAGAGGAGGATGAAGTCGTGGAAGTCGAAGACGCTGTGATGGAAGACGGTACCTGCAGAAGAAGATGACTACCGGAAGCTACTGTGCAGTGTTGTGAATAAGGCACAAACTTTATTTTCGATTTTGTATAAATTTTTATAAAGCTTTTCGACCTTTTTTTATAATGTTTCATAAACTTTTAGTGACTTATTCATAAACTTTTTTCATAAACTTTCAGAAATCTCTTAAACCTTTTTCACAAATTTTTATAAACTTTTTTTTAACTTGTTTATAAATCTTTTCAATGTATTCATGAATATTTGTTAAGAGTCACATTTCTGGTATCATACTAATGCAATTTTATTGTATTTTGTATTGTAGATGTTTAAACTCTTTTCATAATTTTTTTAACTTGTAAATTTTTTCAACGTATTCATAAATTACTATTTAACTGGGAATAAGCCACAATTAAAGGTAAAAGTACGTTTATTGACGTTTCAATTTCCATTTCAGAAATCGTTCTTCAGAACAATACATTTCTGGTATTATACTAATGTAATTTTATTCTAATATGTTGTATTGTATTTATATAAACAAATATGTTGTTTAAATAAATTTCTTGCCAGCCAGAGTCTTCAAAGTGGGATATCATCCTGGTGCCTTAGTCGTGGACTAATACGCACCCTGATGCGCATCGCCCCACATGTTTCGAATTTTCTATTGGCCGAGAGATCCGAAAATCTTCTTCTTCTTCTACGGCACTACAGCCAAAAATGAGCCTTGGCCTCCTTTATTTTTTGCCTCCACCCTTGTCTGTCTGTGACTGCTCTTCTCCATACACGGACTCCTAAAAATGCTTGTGCGTCGCTGCTTACTGTGTCTTCCCAGCGCTTTCTTGGCTTTCCGAAAGAAAAAAGATCCGAAAATGCCATATAAATATTAAAATACTTTTAAATATGCGACATTCTTCGGATCTCGGTCAGTCTGGTCTCGGCTCCCAAATAGGCACCCTGAGAGCTAGATGTCGGGGCGCTGCTCCGGTTCTCCGAACATTTTGGACTCTGGCTGGACCCTGTCCACCTTCTAAACTGTGTTTCATTTATTTCCCATGTGAGAAATGTTGAATTATCCACCAAGATGGAATATACGCAGAGGGCACTTCAAATAGACTGGTCGAAGTCCCTCTGTAAGGCATCGTGGGAATGTATAAGTTGTCATACTTTAACAAGCCCTTACATTCCATATGGTGATATCAGAATGGCATATGTCACTGCTCTGAATCGAAACAAAATCTATCCCGTCGTAGGACAATAATTATCAAAATAATTATTTCAGATTTTTCTTGACGACCAATTCATCAATCTATCTTCTTTGCAAGTTGTAGAAAGCACAGTGAATTAAGTAAAGTAAAGATTTAAATTCGGTTTCGCCAAGTAAGAAATCTTATGATTTCTCTTGTTGTTATTAGATGGCGTTGTTACGTCTGTAAATAATTATTTCGATAATTATTGTCCTACGACGCGACATATTTTGTTTCGATTCAGAGCAGTGGCATATTCCGCTCTGATGAAACCTAATGAGGTTGAAATACGTATAAGCGGCTTGCCGCCGCCCTGCATGGAAATACAAATCTAATACCGTCATTATGTGATATATTTTATTATTTCTTCAACCTCATTTTCAGTTATTGAAAATAGGTACATAGTATTATTTATATCCAACATATTTTCTCGAAATTCAGTATCGACTCGGGAATCATTTCTACATATCGTATCCAAATCGGTATACTAGTTTACAAATTCATTTGATATGTCTGGTAAAAGCTTACTTACACACCGCTATAAGTTTTTTGACATATTTTTTAGTATTAGCCCGTCTACATAAGCTTTTTGAGCTTGTTGAATACATTGTGCTACATTATTTTTATCTACTTTGTATCTGTTCTGTAAATTGTAATCATCGGGATGAGTTTTAAGAATTAAAATAAATTATTTTTTTTTTCATTTATTGATTTAAGTAAGGGTAGGTAATTTTTTTATCTGATTCAGAACTCTCCAGCTTCATATTCTTCCCAATCTTTTTTGTAAACCTAAGCTTTTTTCGTAAATTTTTGTTTTAGTTACTTACACATTTTCTAGTAAACGTTGCTTTTTTCAGTCATTTATTCTCATGATATCAATATATTCTAATCCATTCAGAGTACTAGGTGAAGAGCGAATAGTCTGACTTTTCTTTTTATCAAGTGTAATACACCAATTGATTAAAAAAAAACTATGAGAAAAATAAAATAATAAAACCAGTTTTTTCAGAGGTACCTGGTCCCCGTAAGGCCTTTATTTTGAATACTTTCTTCTTAGGGTGCATGACCGTTCCGAACGTTGGCTATGATGATTTTGTTGGTTGCTATACGAAATAGCTGTGTTGAGGTCTTTCTATACCATGCTCTCAGGATAGCTAGCCAGGATATTCTTCTTCGTCCTGGGGCTTTTTCCTTCAATTTTACCCTGCAAAATGCATTGAGTAGTTCGTACCTGCCTTGATTTCTTATTTTATGTCCCAAGTACTCCAGCTTACGGATCTTCACGATGTTGACCAAATCCGCGGTTGTGTTCATTCTCCGCAGTACTTCTTAATTGGTGACTTTGTCTGTCCATGGTATCTTCAGGATTCTTCTGTATAACCATAACTCAAAAGCCTGAAGTTTTGATAGTTTCCGCCTTCAATGTCCACGTTTCTACTCCATACAAAAGCACTGAGTACACGTAAAATTTAATGAGCCTTATTTTTGTTTTCAGGGTTAGGTCATGGCTCTTGAACACAGAGCTCATAGTCAAGAATGCACTTTTGGCCTTTCCGATGCGACATTTAATCTCTTGGGTATTGTCCCACGACTCATTGATTATAGTTCCCAAGTAATTCTATTGTGAGACACGTTCAATTCTCATTTAGTTCACATACAGATTTGCTCCAGTTATGTTTTCCTTGCCGATGATCATTAGCTTCGTTTTGCTGGTGTTTATATCCAGTCCATATGTTCTACTTGTTTCCGTTCTATGGTATTGGAAAACACTATTGTATCATCTGCATACCGCAGGTTATTGAACTTGACTCCATTTATTGAGATGCCTTCATCAATATCTTTAAGGGCCTCTTCAAAAATGTACTCCGTGTACAAATTGAATATCAGTGGTGAAATTGTGCACCCCTGTCTCACTCCCCTTAAGATTTTGACCTGATCTGTATATTCTCCATCTATTCGGAGTACCGCTGATTGATTCCAATACAGATTAGCTATAATTGTTAAGTTTCTTCCATCAATCCCTGTCCCCTTCAGCACTTCCATAATTTGTTCATGTCTTACTCTATCGAAAGCCTTCTTCTAGTCAATCAGGCATGCAAAAGCATTACAGCTGACATCTCTACATTTCTGAAACAGTACCTGCACGCTAAATAAAGCTTCCCTCGTACCAACGGCGTTCACAAATCCAGACTGATTGGACGCAATTTGTTCCTCGCATTTCCGGTAAATTCTTTTGTGGATGACTTTTAAAAACAGCTTCAGCAGATGGCTTATTAGGCCTATGGTCCTATAATCTTCACAAACTTTTGCTCCTGTTTTAGGGCATCAATTTGAGCCACTCTACTGGTATTTTTCCTGCTTTATAATATTTCATTAAATATTTCAGTTATTATTTTTATTTGTTCTGCATCTAATAGTTTCAGCAGTTCTGCAGGAATTTCATCAAGTCCCGGTGTCTTTCCATCCTTCATCTGTCTGACGGCTGCCGTTTTACCTTCTGGTAGGATTTCGGGACCTGAATTTTTTCAAATGGTGCGCTCTTGTACTGTTTTAAGGTCATGGAATAGTTGACATAGAATTTTTTTATCTTCTTTGGTTATGGCAAGATTGCCTGCATTATCTGTTATTTTTCCGCTGTTGCGTTTTCGAAACTTTCCAGCTATTTCCTTCACCTTTCGATGAACATTGAAGTTATCATATCGACTCTGATACTCTTCTATTTCTTGACATTGTTCTGTTTTTTTGTTTCTCTTTGGCTTCTCTTATTTTTCTTCTGACGATGGTATGTATTCTCTTATATTCTTGGAGATTTTCTTTGTTTTTTTCCTCTGATCCATAGGCTCAAGTATTTCATCGGTCATCCACGATTTCCGTTTCTCTCTGTCTTTCTTCAGGTGTTGTTCTTTTATCGCTCTTATTTGTATTTTTAATACGATGAATTTGAAATTGGTCATTAAAAGGATGATTATGGTCTAAAAGGTGAAGTCCGTATGTAGAATCTGCTTTTCTATTATCGAAAGCACTTTTGTGCTCTGCTTATCCATTTATTAAAAGTTCTACCAGTTTGACCGAAGTAAGTTTTTAGGCAGTCACTGCATTAAAGTTTGTATACACCACTAAGTGATTTTTCTTTTGGCTCTTGTTGTTCTTAATATATTTGCTTAAGTTGTTGTTTGTTCTGAAAGCTGGTATTCTTTTATTTTTTATGTGGTTGGCTATTTTTGTTTATATCCTGCCTGTGTATGTAATCGAGCAGAAGGTACTGAATTTTTTCTCTGGTAGCGGAAATACTAATTTCAGGGATTTCTTATACAGTTTTTGATTTAAAATATGAATTAAAAATACAGATATAATTCGGAATGACCAATTTGAAACATGCAGGTCTCCCCTCCTCAACTTATTCAGTTAAAGCTTAAATGTGTCGTGCTTTATCTAAGATTTCAGTTTTACCTGAATTGTGGCGATGCACGCACAGCTGCTCTCAACTCTTCATAGACGTTTTCTCTATCGAAACCCAACTTGTGCAACATACACACCAAAAACCTGTCTTCGTCTTCCATGTAGTTTTTGCCTTTGTTGGTGCCGTAAGAAATTCTTAGCTGATGGAAAGGTGCACGATATCTGAAAACATAATTACCTGATTAAAATAAAACATCTAACAATAAACTTTTTAAGGAAACTAATGTTTACCTTGCCATTTTAGCATCAAGTGCTTTCTTAATACTAGCTCTTCTTTGTATTTTAGTTTCTCCTCTCTCAATCTGGGCCATTATTCTATCAATATCCTGTAATTCATGACATCTTTCCCAAAACACCGCAGAATATTCCATAACTTCTTCAGGTGTTTTACCTTCAACATCTTTGGCGATGTTCTCGATATCGTCCCTACCATATTTCTCGTTGGCTTTGATGAATTGGTTGAAATCGCGTTTACTCCAATTGGTGAAACCTTGCGTTAACAAGTTTTCTTTTTCTTGTTGTTCCTCTTCGGTGAGGGGTTCCGATTCATCTATTTTTCTTTGCTCTTCTTTCTGTTGCTTGGACGCATCAGGTCCAAGTTCTAAGTTTTTCGGAACCTGAAAATTTGAATATTTAAAATACAAACATGACAGATGTTAGAAATAGGAAGAAGAGTAGACGAGTGCATACTACGAACAATGAGAAGAAGAGAAATAATAAGAAATAAAATCTTACAATGATAGCGTCTTGCTGATTTCCTTATTCATTGTTAAAGATGCCCTCTTGTAACCGTATCAAACGTATTTTAGTAGGAGTTTATGAGTTTACATAATGAGTAATAATTAAAAATACTTATTTATAACCTTTACCTTATATCCCAAAGATTTCCTATAAAAGTAGATCTCCTGGTCCAAAAGTTCGAATAATCTCGGTGGGAAAAACTGGAAATCTTGAACGATGGGCTGTTTTGGTGGTCTTGGAGCTTTGGGCGCTTTAGGCTCAGAAACTCTTAACGCTTCTCTGAAGTAAGCATCGACGGCATAGTTGGCCTTCCTTTCTCTTTTTGGAGGTTCTATCCAGTTGCTCAAACCGATAGATTTCTGCTTCTCGCGATAGTCTTCTCCTTCGAATTGGTAGACTGATTCAGTGGGTGTTTCGACTGTGAAGTTGCGAAGCGACGATTCACCCATGCCTTCCAACTTCTGAGCCAACTGAGCGGTCTAAAATAAGAAGAACTTAATTTCCATAATATATTTAACACTTTTTTAAATCAATGGTTTAAAATAGTATGAAAAACCTAATCTTTCCCAACGACCACAAATACTCTTCTAAGAATATGCGTCATAACATTCGAATTAGAAACTGATCATTGATTGATCCTATCAATTCTTTATGCGTGAATAAATTAAATACATTAAAAATATATAAAGATAAAGAACTGACCTTCATTTCTCCCTTTTCCAATATACTATCAATATCTTCATCTGTTATTTCGGAATCCTTAGAGGCAAATACGTGGTTGGCACCGTGCCGGATCATGTTTAACATTTCGTCTTTGTTTAGAGACTGTCCTTTGGAATCGGCTAAACGACCTTGTTGGATAACTAATTTGTCTAAACGTAATTTTACTTCAGCTCTTTCCACAATTTTTTCCTCTACGGTGTTCTCGGTAATAAATCTGAAATGATAAAAATGGATATATGATCAAATCTGAATACAAGAAAGGATCGTGCCCGAGAAATTGTGATATCTTGCATTTCTATTAACACATTTCATAAGTACTATCATTTAAGAAAACGGAATTTTGCAAATGTATTATAAATTATAAAAATACAACAAGAAATAGTTAATTCAAGTTGTATTCGTTTCCAAATTATAAGCAAAAATTACTGCAAAGAGAAAAGTGGATTTCTAATATAAATTACAATAATTATTGTATTAAATAAACAAGTTTAAGTCATTTTATTTGCAGTTTACTAAAAAGTTCGCTGATCTATAACACTCAGTATCGCTCTTCCGAAATTTTTACCTTTTAATAACCTCTATCTTTAATGTTAAAATGATGAAATCTAACGAAAGAAACATATTTACCCATTTTTACAACTAAAAATCAATTAAAATTTTTTTGAAGTCAATACTGATATAAATTACAATAATTATTGTATTAAATAAACAAGTTTAGGTCATTTTATTTGTAGCTTACATACGAGTAATATATTAAAAGTGCAATCCTTCTACGACACTAGGTGTCGCTCTTCTAAACTTGCATATAGCGAATAATTGCGAAACATCAAAAATTGTCCAGCTGATAGTTGGAAAAAGGTATATTTAAAACTAACAACTAACATTGGAGAATAAACGAGAGGAGCTTTTTTTACAAAACTGCATAAATCCACTTTTCAAACATTTTCACGAGACGTAAAAACGTGCTGAAGCTGTTGTACTGAAATTTTCGAAATTTCAGAGAACGTAATCAATTGAGGTTAGATTTAGAGAAATAAAACGTTAATTAACATTATTTTTATTGATTTGCATTAACAAAATATAGCCATGTGTCTGTTGGAGATATCGCGTTTTGTAAAAAAAGATGGGAGATATTAACTTTTGTCAAACTAACAATATCTTAGAAATAAAAAATATTAAACGGTACCACTAAAACAAAAAAAATAGGAGTACAAAAAATTTAGATGTGAACATTTTTTGGCTCATCCTCCAAGCAATCACACTCGCCATCATGGTAGTTGTGGGTTTCTGGATCTGGATCACTAGTAACTTTGTGTTGAAGAGCATTAATATACCAATGAAGATCAGGGATCTCTTTCCAATTTTGTCCAAAGTGGGTTTGCAATAAATGAAGGACATCTTTTTTTTCTCTTCAGTCACGGAATGAGATAGTGGGATTTGGGGAAGAGCCTGAAGAAAATCATTTTTATTTTTTTTACAATGCTTCTAAAAGTTTCTGTTCCACTATCGAACCTATAGTTGGCGCAGCATTTTATTTTGGTTGAAGTATGCCGGTCTCTATTGTTTTGATTTTCTTAATAATGAGGCGTTTGGTTTGGCTGATTCCTTTTATTTTTTGATAAATAATTTCAAGGCTTTTGATATCGTATATCACCAAGTCTTGTCCCAGTTTCTGTACAGAGCCAAACTCCTCGTAAATAGAAGCATACTCTTCGCTTAAGATGATAGTACAGTTTTTTTCAAGTGCTTCTCCACACGGCCAAAAGCTCGATCAGCTGGAAGAAAACTGTGCCCACGAGTCGGAAAGGTTACATGAATTTTCTGTACATGCTCTGAGGCCTCATTTTTAAGGTATGGCACAAAACATGAACAATATGAGCATTTTTATTTTGGCCAGCGAAACCATCACAAACAACGATACTGCAGAAAAAGACCACAGATCTTGGCGTCTTAAGTGACGGATGAATGCAGGTCCGATTTCATTTGCTCCTCTGCTTCCCTGAGTTTCATTCCACGTATAAAATGTTGGTGCCTTTGAGTCAATAGGCACACAGCAAAATGCATAGAATGCAATTTGTCGGCGACAAAGGGCAACGCTGATTGGAGTTTTAGGGAGTGGGTGCACTTGTTGCAAATCAAAAACAAAACTATAAGTATCACTGGGAACTTCCTTCATTTGCTTGTAAAACGCATCCGCTCTCAGCTTGTGAATACGAATTCAGTCATTGTACTAATTTTTTCAACTGAGCCGCGAGCGTTTTGTTAAATAAGATATTTAAGACGGGTGAACGTAGCGCATGCGTCTGTAGCTGGAGAGTAAAATCCAGTGTTAAAATCAGTTACAAAAATACGGTGAAAACAAGAATAGCTCACGTGCAAATCGGCAGTGTAAGCATCCTTAAACATTTCATATAACTTATTTACATTTAACTCTGCTGAAAGGTAAACTCTCTTACATTTTCCTCTTCCATAATGAAATTCTAGGGCATTTACTATTGCCTTCTATTGATTCCGATCCTGTGCTATTATTTCCCATGGCCTTACTTCCATCTTCTCCAGGTCTTCCCTGACTGCGTCTTTCCACCTTTTTCTAGGCCTTCCTGTCGATCTTTTACCATCTGGCAAAATGCATGGTTACAACAGCAAATTTACTAAGATGTAAATTGGAACTGGAAGGTCAGATGATAGAACAAGTGATGGAGTTTAAATATCTAGGCATCACATTTTCTAGCTACGGAAAGCTCGAAACCGTGGAAGATCAAGTAAATAAAGCAAACAGAGCCGCAGGCTGCCTAAATGAAAAATATGGAGAAATAAAAATATCGGGAAAGAAACGAAAGGCAAAATTTACAAAACAGTCATCAGGCCAATAATGACATAAGCGGTACGATCAAGACCTAACACAGAGAGGACAAAAAGGATGTTAGAAACAGCAGAGATGAAAACACTTAGAAAAACTGATGGTAAGACACTACTGGACAGAGCTAGAAGGACAGATACACGGAATAGATGCAAGGTGGAGAGCATCAAAAACTGGGTAACAAATAAAAGAGACGGTTCCCCAATAGGAAGACGATCAGTATGAAAACCACGAAAACGATGGGAGTGACAACTTACTGGAGGCACATTGAAAAACAGACAGAGTCATGTCTATATAAAAACAAGAAGAAAAAACTTTTAAAACCAAACAAAAATAGTAGAGGGATAGTTTTGCACTATACAAAACACTACGTAATTTTAATGGTTAGCTAAAGAAGGATATGTTAAGTTTTGTATAAAAAAAAGAGTGAACATGGGGTAAAGGTTTTTGAGTGGATTAATGTTTTGTGGAAGAAACGTAATTGTTGGGCTCATTTTAAATAGGAAATATTAACTTTTAACACATGCGGCTTATACACAAGATCTAAGGCAGACAAAACTCTCGAAATTCAACAAAAAATGTATTTTAGCCAGAAATGGATTTATGCAGTTTTGTAAAAAAGATCTTCAAACAGATAAATCACATATACTTATTTGCACTTGGTACTGTGTATGATACTTTTTAAAATATAAAAGAACATTTTTCATTACATTAAATAGACTTCCTAATATATATATATAACCTCAAATATGAATGTTTATAGGAGATTAACTAATGTTAATAGGTATTATGCTGTTACTTCTTTCCTCCTAAATTTTTCATTTAAATTCTCTATAGACTGTTCTGCAGTTTAACTTCGCAGACTGACCATCGTGCACATAGCGAATAATTAAATATTTTAGTTCATGTTCTAGTATAGTTTTAAAAGAGCATTGGGTTCAAATAGTGGTTTACCTGCCTGATATTATTTCAAAATACCATATATGAATGATAATCCGTTCTATCCTGTTCTACGTAGAATATAAAAGCCTGATTATGATATAAGAACACCACTTCTCTTACCTGAACACCCTGACTTGTTTCTTCTGACCAATTCTATGCGCTCTGTCCATAGCTTGCAGATCCATCTGAGGATTCCAATCCGAATCATATATAATAACTACATCAGCTGTTGCCAAATTGATACCTAATCCACCAGCTCTAGTTGACAACATAAAGATAAACTTTTGGCTATTTTCTTCGTTATACTCGTTGATTTGTCTCTGTCTGTCTTCGTGTGGCGTTTGACCGTCCAAACGACAATATTGGTACTGTCGCCAATGACAGTAATCTTCAAGTATATCCAACATACGCGTCATCTGCGAGAAGATAAGTACACGAGACTCCTAAAAAAATATAAGAGATTTAAAATATTTCTTTGAAAAAATTTGCACAAAAACTAAATAAAAACATATACAGGAGAGTTATTAGTCAGAAATATAATAAAACTCATAAACAACAACGGTCATTAAAAGGTAAAATTTACTTGCTTCAGCAAATTTACAACAATTTTGAAGGATAACAACATGTTCCATTGTTAAGTTTTTAAGAAGCCGAATTTAAGGTTTCCGTCTAGTTTCCCAATTTCAACCTCAATGTCCTAAGAAGTTGTTTCAAAATACTTTTCACAGTATGGAGATGAGTTTGTTCAAGTGGCAGAGAGTTTAAATTCTAGTTCCTAACCCCAGAAAATTTAAAGTAGTTTAGTGAAATCCAGGTAACTTTTTTTGTTTGAACTTTCAAAGTAAAAATAGACGTTTTCTATAATAATTTGCTTTCATAAGAATTTGTAATAACTAAAATTATATGTCTTAGGGCGTGACTTAGCTGTCGTTTTATTTGGTCTGTAGTTCTGTTGTAATATTTAATGTTGACATATGACAGCCAGCTTTATATATTTTTTAACATCTGGTTAATATCTAATCATACTTGGGATTTTGTTATTGTTTTTTTAAAGGTTTACCTCTATACATATTTTATTTAAAAAGATAATTTTTATTTGTAATGACTTATTTCTGCCACAGATTATAGCCCAGTAACATTTGAAAGTATTGTAGTATCTCCAACTTCTAATAGTTTGTAAATGGATAGGACATAGTAAGTTTTTCTTTGTTATTTTGATATTTATCTCTGTAACTATTAATATAGTATTTTTGTGCCCTTTATATTTGTAACTGTTTGTGCTGAGACAACAATAAATGTTTAATTTATTTCTCTAAACCATTTTGTCTATTTATTTTAAACAATATTCTAACCCATTTTCTGGTGTTTTTTAGGACGGAAGAACCTTTTCTGTCATCCAGCAGGAAGTTTCCTCGAAGCGGCGTCCCTTTTAAATAGCTAGAGGTCCTTCTTGTTGTTTAGTTTACCCATTTGTCGAGGAGATTCATGTATGTACCCTCTTTTTGTTTCATTTTTGTATTTGCCCCAATCCAACCCCCTTGTCAATCTCTTATCCACGACCCAGCTCTCAAATAAACCCTGAGTGACCGTTCGCATCTTTAGTAGACTTTAAGGCAGCGTACGATACTATTGACAGGTCCCAATTATATTCGGCGATAATCGAATTAGGAATACCAAACGGTTTGGTAGAATTAATTAAAATGACAATGATGAAAGTCGAATGTAAAGTGCGCGTACAAGGGGATGTTTCAAAACCATTTAAAACCAACAGAGGACTGCACCAGGGAGATGCGCTATCGTGCACGCTGTTCAACCTAGCGTTAGAAAAAGTTATGAAAGATCCGGGAATAAACTTAAAAGGTACGATATATACCCGTAGTATACAAATAATGGCATACGCTGATGATCTCGTCATAATTGGAAGAACCCAAAATGAAGCAGTGGAGGCTTTCACACGTATCTAAAATGCCGCAGAAAACATCGGACTTCTGATTAACATCCAGAAAACTAAATATATGCCGGCCATATCAAGAATTCAACAAAATAATTTAGAGGTGCAACACGAAGCGATAGAAATTGTAGAATAATTCTGCTACTTAGGATCACTGGTAGACTACAAAAATAACACATCCAACGAGATAAAAAAAAAGAATATGCGTGGCTAACCGCTGTTATTTTGGCCTGGGCCCTCAACTAAGAGCGAGAAGTATGTCAATAGCAACAAAGTGCAAACTTTGTAAATCAATACGGATCGGAAACATGGGCAATGACGACCCGAGATGAAGAGTTACTACGAGTTTTTGAAAGAAAAGTATTGAGGACCATATATGGCGGAGTAAACGAACAGGGTCTGTGGAGAAGGCGATATAACTTTGAACTCTATAGAGTTTTTGGTATATGCTAGTGTATACTAGTAATAACTATGCTAAACAGGCCGGTCGGAAGAAGGAGAAGGGGGCGACCTAAACTCAGATATCTGGACGATGTACAGGAAGATCTGAGGGAGATTGTAGTGAGGGGCTGGAGAAAACAGACATTCGATAGGGAAGGATGGAAGAATGTTTTGAAGCAGGCCAAGGCTCACGAAGGGCTGTAGCGCCAACTGATGACCTTTCGCATAAGTTGCGATTTGTTTTGCTTGCCCTATCTCCACCCCAATAATTTCTGGCCCCAATTTTCAACCCCCCATAGTAATACCCTATGTGGTAGGCAAAATATTTCCTTACATTACTAAATGATTAATTTTTTGAATCCTGATGGCTAGCCAAGATATTTAACTTTATGTTCAGGTAACATAGGTTTACTTGTGGTTTTTTTATTACTGGGCTTTTTCTGGTTTCCCTTTGTAGCGGGAACTGAGAAGAACAGATAGATTTGTTGGTGTCTGATGTCTTGTGAGCAATTTCTCCGCTTACCCTAGTAAAGATGGTAAAAATGAACTTCAAGATGACAACTTACCTGTTCCTTCAATTTGGGAAGCAGTTTATCCAGCAACACCATTTTACCGCAATTGTACACGAGATGCTCATCGGTTGTGTAAGGTGGTCCAGGCTCAGCGCCATCAAAAAGGTAGGGGTGATTGGTACATTTTCTTAACTGCATGAGAATATTCTGCAGTCGCATTTTTTCCACCTAAAAATCGCCATGTATGCAGTAAAAATTATATCATAAAAGTTAAGTATATTATTTCAGCACAATATGATCAATAACTTCCTTAAATAGAGTTAAATTCAAATTGAACAGTTTAAAGTCTCTAAAATATGAATAACCTTTTGTGTTTACACTATTTCAATATAAAAAAAGTAAATATGTGACATAAATCTGTAAAAATTCTGATCATATCGGTGTAAGTACTTAATTATTCCTTAACCTGCATAATCGCACTTGAGTTCTTAAAATATTCTTCCCTAGTATTATTAACATTATTAAAATATTTATTCATACCTTTCCTGCGCCATTCACTATGTCAATATCCTTCATCAGCACTTTGGTATACCATTCTCGTTGCATTTTGCTCAATCCTACATATACTTTTAATTCCTTCTTGGGTTTGAGCCGTTTCTCCACTTCAGCTTTCAATCTTCTAAGCAAGAATGGTTTCAATACAGCATGCAGCCTCTCGACCAAGGCGTTGTCTCCCAAACATTGGCTGGTGTTGAACCAGGCATCGAAATCATCAGATGAGTTGAAAACATCTGGCAGTAAGAAGTTAAGAAGAGCCCAGAGTTCATGTAAATTATTTTGTAATGGAGTACCTGAAATTATTGTTTGAGAATTAGAGCAGGAAATGAAGTAACTTATAATTGAATCATAATCAAAAAACGTGTGATAACATGAATAGACCCTGATTTCAAAATATAAATCTGAGCAAACACAATTGGACATAGTTATGCAGAATTGATCCATCCCACAGTAACATAATTTTGAGATAATTACCTTTAAAGAAAATTTAATACAACAATTTGAAATAACTATGTTTATTCATTTAAATATGCACAAGTTATTTTAAGGTGTTTATTGCATCTTATGTGCGTATTTTAAAAAATAAAGTATATTTATTTTTGTCATTAAATAAAAAAAAACATTTGGATCATTTCTGCAAAATTGTGTTTCTTGTGGTACAAAGCAAATTTTATTATTTGCAGATATGATCCAAAGCGGTGTTTGTCTGTATTACTGTCAAATTATATTTATTTTTACCAAAGTCTGTACATAAAACAAAGATTTATTTTTGGTAACATATCTTTACATTATAAAAACATTGAAATATTTAAGTTTAGATCGAAGAAACATTATTCTGTAGAACTTTCTTCCAGGGGAAAATCTAGTTCATTTCCATACCCATCTATGTCATCGGGAATATTTTTGTTTCCTGTTAACTGTAGATATATGTTTTGACAGTCTTTTGGAATAAGATCTAACAACAACTTAATGTCTTCTAACTTTGGAGCTGAAATCTCTTTACCATTAGGCCATAGAGGCGAAAGATTTTCTGGAGTAAATATTTCTGTCAAAAGTTTACTTTTAGAATTTTTTTTTAATATCCACTTCCACAAATTCACTATCAAAAGAATTTCTCATGAAAATGGAATACGGGTTTTCTTTTTTTAATAAAATTTCTTTGGTTTTAAGTCAATTTATGGGCTTCTTATCTGTTGATAATTTTCTATTGACGATAAGTTTTTCAGTTTCTGTGTACTATAGAAATTTTCCTTTTTCATTCTAGTAACCACCATTGGTTTCTTCCTTTGACACGAACGCATGACATCCATGTACTCTTCTGATGTATAAATTCGCTGCTGTAACTTAAAAGCGGATTCTATTTTGCCAAAATCGGTGTCATTTGGCAGGTAGGAATGACCTGGTTCTAGAAATCTTTGTGAAATTTTCTGTAAAGTTGGATGTTTTGACAAAAAGAGTTTCAATAGCAAAACGATTTTAATATTTCTATTTTGCCCCCCACATGAATCGCCCCAAAGTATTAAATATTTCACATCAGGTTTCAGGTATTTTTCCATGTGATTAATTAAACAACTTCCAGTTTCTTGAGCTCCGCGCCCTGCTTCTCCTTCCATCCATACATAACAGTAACCTTTGTCTTCTGATCCTAAGTGGATACCACAATTATATACCCATAGTTGTCGTTTATAAAAAACGATGTTTGTAGGTATTCTTGGAAGTGGGAGAGTTTTCTGTAAATCAAATGTGATGCATTCCATTTCCTGGGACATTTGACTTTCTTTTAGATCGTTCCTCATTGTTGCTCTTGCATTTTGCCAAAGTTCAACATGTTTCTGATGTTCGTCAGTTAAATAATTTCCCTCTTCTTCAGTTGTTTTTTATTTTTGTGTTAAATAAATCACATTTTAAACAAGTATCTTTGTGAAGCGATTTTGTTCGTAAATTAAATTTGTTTAAGTAAATAGACTTATATTTTTCAAACGAAACACATTTTCTTACAGGATACTTTTTAACTACCATTGCAGTATACAACTCATACAGTTTTCTTACAGTCAGATTTGGCTGAAGGAATAAGGCATCAGAGCAATTTGCTCTTCTGTAATGTGATGTGTAAGTTGGAATTGATTTTAGATGACGTATTACAAGTTTGAGGTCTTCAGAAGGAGTTTTATTCCAACCTCCCTGCTTTTGTCCTCTTTGATCAACAATGCTATCAGAGCTATCCATTTTTTTTAAAGATACGGTCACTTTTTGGGGAGAAATACCTAATGTTTTTACAAACATATCACAGCACACTATTTTTCCTGCTAAAGTATAGGTACGACTAAAATTTTTAATTTTCCTTTGTAAACCTTCGTTTAATGTGGTATAAGATCTTTTCTTTGTGTTTTGTTTTACACAAGCGTTACATTATGGAATGTAACACTTCTGCATTTATAATGACCAAAGAAAATTGCGAGAATAACATTTGCTGATATGATTCAAGCTTTTTGAATCATTACAGTGTTAAATACATTTGTGTTATTGACTTTATTTAATTTTGTAAAAATGATTCGGGCCACTTGGATCATTTTGGCTTAAAAAATAAAGCCTCGTTTTAAAATTATTTTTAAAACGCATTAATGATCCATGTGTCTTGGTTCATTTTTGTAAATTACTCTTAAAAATATTTGAAGATTTAAGTAGCATGAATCATTACTGCACAATCGATTAAAGCTAAAAGAGCGTTTAAGGTTGGACATTTTACTATTATTACTGTTGTCTTGCATAGAAAAGGTTGGATCCTTTCAGCATAATTTAGTTTCGAATTTTACCGATGCAAATTTGTGCCTAACTCATATTTTAAGAAATTGTGGAATGGATCACTTCTGCATAACTACGTCCAATTGTGCTTCATAGTAATATAAATGAATTTTTCTCAGTGGGATATTTCCCTGATGAGCTGAAACATGAAAATAATTGTAGTTCACAATAAGGGAGTGAAAGATGAGATTTCATGATTATTCCTTCTATTCTCATTTAATTTTTAACAAATACATCTCTTATTCTATCTCTTCTGGATGTTCGTATTGACTTTCTATTGAAATTTATTGCATGCATGCAATTCTACTGTTATCTAATAACATCTAATCTACTAACATCTAATGTTATCTAATAACATCAAACATTTTAATAATAAAAGATAGTAAAATAGTAACACTATCAACTCTTACATCTCAATCAATGTAGATATTTTACAACAATAAAGATATCATGTCTCGAGATACAACTCGTCTCCTACTCCCTCTATAGGAATTTAAAGATCTTTCAGCTAATAAATATGCCGTTGTTGACTTTTCGGTGGTTATGCACAAGAACAATGATCTGCAGTCTTAAATAAATAAACTATACAAACCTGTTAGCAGTAACCTGTTAGTAGTCTTGAACTCTCTGAGAATTTCGGAGAGCTTAGATTTTTCATTTTTTATACGATGAGCTTCATCAATGACCATATATCTCCAGTTGAATTTTTTAAATACAGATTTTTCTTTAATACACATTTCATACGAGGTTATACAAACATCCCATTCACCAGGCATCATCGTATCTCTGATAAATGAGTTCTGAAATATAAATATATTGGAAATCATAAAAAAGTTTATCAATTATAGCATAACTAGGCTATGATCAATAACCATCCCAGTGGTTTATTTGAAACTATACACCGCCTTAAATTTATATAAAAGTAAAGATAATTTTAAAATAAGCCAGCATAGAATAATAAAACATTAGAATGGTTTAGGAAAGTTATATTTTCTGTGTGATGTGGTAGCGGGTAGATACTCTTGCACGATCCCGGTATGAGATAAATCTACTTCAGGTATGTAACCCTGCTCACGCGAGCCATTGCTATCCGCCAACCCGTCCCGGGGAAAGTCATGTCCCCACCCCAGGATCCCTACCAAAACAAATAAATCCTCTCACATATCGATTCCCAAGGAGTAAACCTCACACGAAAGAAAAATCATTGGGGAAGGCAACGGGAACCCACCCCAATTAACTTTCCCTAGTATAATCACAATGGATCCAGTCAATATAGAAACGGCTCTTAGTCCCGGACACCCCTTAAGTGGGGAGAGGGTGCTAAGAATCCCCCAGTTGCCACAAATATTTAGATTTAAGCATGATAAGACGATTGGTACATGGAATGTACGAAGTTTATTCCAGGCCGGAAAAGTGAATAACGTAATTAAAGAAATGCGAAGACTCAACATTGACATACTTGGATGCAGTGAAATTAGATGGCCCAATTTAGGCCAGTGCGAAATAGAAAACCACACAATATACTACTGTGGAGATACTACAACAAGAAATAAAAACGGAGTGGCTATAATAGTAAACAAAGAAGTTAACAAATGTGTACTTAGTTTTATAGGAATATCAGAGTTGCAGTATTCAAAATTAATTCTAAGCCAGTTAACATGAACATTATTCAAGCATATGCTTCAACTTCGGAAAGCTCAGAGCAGGAAATAGAAATATTCTATGAACAATTGAAATAATCCCTAAAACATACCAAAAAACAAGAAGTGAATATCCTGCTGGGGGATATTAGAAACCAGATTGACTACATCATCATCAACAAACGATTTCAGAAAAAAAAAACATATCCGGGAGCAGATGGAACATCTGTTCTCGGAGAACGTTCAAACTCCACATGAAAAAGTCCATAAAAGAAAAGCACAAAAACGTCCGGACACCCAGAAGTTGAAAGATAAAACCACAAGAGACGAAGTCAAAGAGGAGATCAACAACAAAATAAACAGCATGGTAATCTCAGATATTAATCAAGAAAACATAAGTGTGGATGATATGTGGAATAAAATCAAAAATATCTGTAATTCAGTGGTAGATAATAAACTTAAACCAAAAAACAATATAAAGAAACAGCCGTGGATGAGACAAGAAATATTAGAGCTAATGGAAGAACGAAGAAAACACAGAAATAAGAATGAGGAAAGGTACAAAGAAATAAACAAAATCATTAAGAAAAAGATTAAAGAAGCAAAAGAATCATGGCTACAAGATCAATGCATAGAAATAGAATCCCTAGAACAGAAGCATGACACTTTTAACCTACATAAAAAGATCAAAAACTTAACGGGAGGAAACGGATCACGAAGTCATAACTTAATACTAGACGAGCACAACAATCTGCTCTACGAAAATGAGAGGAATTTGAGAGATGGAGGCAATACATGGAAGAATTATTCAAGGAAGAGTAAGAGACAGAAGTCCGTGTTTCTGGATGTTCAGGACCAGAAATAACGCTCAGTGAAGTAACATATGCAATAGTAAGACTAAAAACCAACAAAGCACCTGGACCTGATTTGAAACTGACCTGAAACTATTTGAAAACAACCAACTCAAACTTCTAACGAGTCTACTGAACAAAATCTATGAAATTGCAGAATTTCCTACAGATTGGCTAGTTTCCACCTTCATCCCTCTCCCCAAAAAGGCAAATGCCTCTGATTACAGAATTATAAGCTTAATGAGCCATGCACTCAAAATCCTTCTTTCTGTTATTCACTCTCGCATATATAGAAACTTTGAAGAAAACATTAGCAGTGTTCAGTTTGGGTTTAGAAGCGGACTGGGAACGCGAGAGGCCCTATTTTCCATACAAGTATTGATACAAAGAGCTCGAGACGTAAATTGCGAAGTCTACGCATGCTTTATAGACTTTGAAAAAGCATTTGACAAGGTGCAACATCAAAAATTATTTCAGATACTGAAAGAATCTAGTATTGATGACAAAAATTTACGCCTAATTAAAAATTTATACTTACAGCAAAGGGCAACTATACGAGTAGACAACGAAACCTCACAAGAATTCACGATGAAACGGTGAGTACGTCAGGGCTGCATTTTGTCACCGACGTTGTTCAATATTTACTCGGAAATGCTGTTCAGGGAAGCTATTGATGGTTTAAGAGAAAGTATAAAAATCAATGGTGAAATCATAAACAATTTAAGATATGCGGACGATACGGTTTTGATTGCTGATAATGCAGAGGATCTGCAAACATTAATAAACCGTGTAGTGGAAGCCTGTGACATATACGGCAGGAAATTAAACTGTAAGAAGACCAAAATTCCTGTAGTAAAAAAAAACGACGTACAACAGCATCAATTCACAGCTAATAATGAACCCTTAAAAATAGTTGACAAAATTACATATCTTGGATGCAGCCTAAATAAGGAATGGGACCACTCACGGGAAATAAGATGTCATATAGAAAAGGCGAGAGCTGTCTTCTATCGCCTCAGGAGGATTTTATGTAATATGCACCTGAACACTGATATAAGAACACGAGTCTTGATCCAACATCCAAACGATCAGAAGCATTTTTGCAAATGTGGTGCTACCGCCGCATGCTCAGAATTTCCTATATCCATCATGTTACAAACAACACCGTGATCCAACATATGAATAAAGATCTGGAAATTATGCGTATTGTGAAAATCCGAAAGATGACATTCTTAGGGAATGTTGTGCGCAATGGACAATGGCAAGGGAATGTTGTGTATCAACTAATTTTACAAGGCAAGATAGAAGGCAGAAGATCTCAAAGGCGCAGAAGGACATCATGGTTGAAGGACATCGTGGTTGAAGAACATCAGGCAGTGGGCAGGAATGACTACCATACATCTATTTAGAGCAGCTGTCAACAAAGTTGTTTGGACCAACGTGATTGTCAACATCCACAGAGGATAGGCACCAAAAGAAGAAGATATTTTCTGATAGTTGGTTTCAAGTTCTGAGATAAATGAGTCGTATCCGAGCGCATCACACATTTTGCGCTCGTATCTATCACCGAAACAGGGATTTGAAAACGATCAAAATTAGTACTTAAGTTAACCAAAATCCAATATCATTCATTTGGAAAATAAGTCAAGCGTTCAATGTCAAAAACATAGACTTTGCAGTTAATTTTGAAGACAATATATACAATCCAGTGTATTCAAGAGCTGAAGACTGTTCATTCTGCTAATTCACCAATATTTGCAAATAAATTGCTACAGAGATTCACTAACTTTGAAAACATTCTCTTTATCTATGAAGCGAACTTTCATTTGAATGATTACGTCAAGCAGACAGTACTTCATTGCCCAAATTCCTAGTCTGAAGTAAAATGTCTGGTAAAGGCATCATCTTCCACATATCCAAGAAGTTCCACCTCTAGCGAATAGGCACTATAAATAGTGAATGTTAGTGAGAAATGCTAAATATTTTTGGTTCAAGAGTTTTAAGATTACAATTCAAGAACATGATTCCAGCAAGACGAGGTCATGTAATACTACTGATTCATTAATTGTTAAAAACAACAAGTCATTTCTCTTAGACAAACTATTAATTGGCCTTCCAGAAGTCCGAATTCTCAGTCCTCTTTACTCTTTTCTGTAAGTTATCTGAAATGTAAGTTATACGAGAACAAACCCATGAATGTAACGCAATTGAAGTATAATACCATACCATAAATAGCGGTAATCTGGCGAGCAGTATGTCAATGCGCTACTACTAATCATCATTCGAGATTAGAGGAGCGTGATGTTCGGCATTTAAATATAATTATTTTTTCTAAATAATTTTGCAATCCAGTATACAAAACATAAATAACTTATCTAATTAATTACATTTATTTTATTCAACTAGCAAACCCCGGTACTATTTTTGGATACACTGTATATGTTTAATCATAAATACTTACCCTAGCCTCTTGATCACCAATGAGACAAACCGCCCTCAAGGTTGGACACCACTTCTCGAACTCATTCATCCAATTTGATAAGGTAGATTTAGGAACAATGACAATATGAGGACCAGGTGTACTTTTATAGTGCTTCATATATCCCAGCAGAGATATGGTTTGTAAAGTTTTACCCAAACCCATCTCATCTGCTAAAATACCATTGATGCCATGTTCATACAAAGAAATCATCCAGTTCAAACCACGAACTTGATAATCTCTCATTTCACCGTTTTTGATGTAGGGTGGTGAGGCATCAAAACGAGTTGTAGTTTTTGTTTTCAGGTTGGTTTCTGCCAAAAGTTCTTCGTCTTCTTCTTGTTCAGTTTTACGATGTCTCAAACTGAAAAAGATTTATGTAACACCATATTACATTCCCACTTATTAAACAATTACGAAATATATCTTATGATTTTTTGGTGATAATATACTTACTCAGACGTATCAGTTTTCTCCTTTTTAGGCCTCCCAGTTTTCGGTTTACTGGGAGATTTTGTTTGGTTCATAAAATGCGAAAAGATTTCAGTCTGTTTCAGTAAGTAGTCAAATCTTTTTCCTCTATCAGAAGCCACTTTTATCTCAAAATCTTCACCCTTGGAGGTAGTATCTGAAGAAGATTCATTTTGACCCAATTCCTGAAAATTAATGAATAAAAGATATAATATATTCTCTTATGTATGTAAGTAATTGAAACAACAAAGTTTTTCTGTATTATTGACTTTCACAAATGTCTCAAATCCACACTTACAGTAAGGATCATGAATCTTTCTGGTATTTCATTAGATTCAATTACGCATACTAAATACACCAAAACACAAATTCATAAACGCCATGGCTATTAGTCCTACCAACAACAATAATATTGCAAGAGCTCTTTGCCTAGAGTAAAAATTATACAGGATGATTCTTTGACAGTTCTAATTAGATGTTTCAGAGAACATAATTGACATAATTAATATCTGAAAATTTAGTATATGGGGTTCTTGGATATGCCCAATGATTTTAAAATATTTAGAGCCTCATACCCCTTTCGGAAGATAATTACAACTTTCTTATTTTAAATACAACGCCCTATATATTATTATGGATTTCAATAAAATAATTCTTGAGAATTCCCCCAATATAAAATTATGGTACCCTAGTGACTAGTGTTTTAGAAGATACAGCCAATTTTATTTTCAAATAGTGTCCTGTGTATATTTGACACCCTGTATCTTTATAAATAATAACATTGCTAACATTTTACAGTTACATATATTGTCTAATATATGTAATATATGTATATGTTAACATTGTCTATTTTAATGAAACTGATGTTTTGTGGATAGAATAACATTCAATATAAAAGGAGATTTAAAAGGCAAACTTAAATATTTCTTAAATTGATCACCCTATATATTACGACCATATTAGAAGGAACATTAATTTTTCTTTTAGTTTGGTTAACTAAATTAACTATTCCATGCAGATTAAAAATATTCCAAATCAGTATTCTAGAAAATCAGAATTGCATGAATTTCTAATATCTGAAGATATATATTTCGAAGAATTATATAGTGCAAATGAATTAATAGAGCTTAATACTAAATTATTGGTAAAACAACATATTGTTAGCGATGTGACAAATCAAAAATGGAAACACTATTTTATGACTACTACACATTAAATTCAATAGAATTATTGTTATACTTTCAAATGAAATATAATGCCAAAAAAATGAACTTCAAAGTGCTATAAGGCTAGCCATCCACTTCCGATTTGTAGTCGTGCGATTGTTTACTCATAAATGATTGAACACATTGTTTCAAATACAAGTCAATCCATTTGCGACTAAATAATCTCAGCAATTTAGGAAACACAACCTATCTTATTTTTACTGTGATGCAATAATCACCCTGCCACAATGAATTATACAGACAAGCAGACATGCATCCACTTAAGACCGTTTAGTGGCGATTCTGAAGCCAGCTAAGCCTGAGGGCATTTTGAGTATTATTGGTTCACAGCAAACGATTCATCAAAATTACTTTTTTAACATGCGGTAGTGGTGAACATTTTTTTCAGGGTGCCCACATAAATGTTCACATAACATGTAAAACTGCCCTTTAGAAAATCTGTGATTTGTTAACGAATGAATCCAATAATGATGCTTTCATCGTTTACTTCTCGCCCGAAGCAAAAGAGCACACAAAAAAAATCACAAAAATAATTTTGATATCATCCATTGGAAAACTAATGCAATTCAGTGATTAGCGAATAACTAATAGCTTCAGAATTTCAAAATATTAAATATACTGAGTACTTAAAAAAAATTAAGCATTGAAGAAAAGTATCATTAGTGTATAGAACAGTGATTCTGAAGAAGAAACAAAGTAGGATCCTAAAATTATATTACTCAGTGTAAAATATTTCAATTTTTTTTTTCAAAGAACTCATGTAATGTTTAATGTAGATTTTAGCGTTAGTGTCCATGTTTCTGCTCCATATGTGAGGACCAGCCTCAGCAATGTTTTTTTATAATATAATAATTTTAGTTCTTCTTTCACTATACATAAAATGGCGATTTTTTGAAAAGATTGTGTGGTATTTGTTGGATATTTTTTTGTAATTAATCAAATTAGGTATAACTAAAAATTAATTTAATTAATTTTAAATCTCCGATTTTCACCAATTCTACTTTAAATCAACATTTAAAGAAGTTTTCTGAAAAGTTTCGATGTTCCAAACTAAATCATCAAAAAGTTATAACAATTTTTATCAGATGCATGAGTATTTTTAACTAAAGTATTTTTGTCCATGTACAAGAAAAAAATCCTGCACATGCTCTGAGTTATGTTGCAATAGAAGTCACATTCAAGGACTGTGAGGAAAACACTTCTCTAACAATGTTTCAGAGTATGAATTTCTGGATGATTTTATAGTCTAATATTGCTTGGTAAGTATAATGCAATACAATTTCTTTTAATTATTTTAGGTAGGAAGGAAAAGAGGTAGACCCCAAAGATCATAGAGGGATGAAGTGGACTAGGCCATGGAAAGATGAGACCTTAGAGATGGAGAATGGCAAAACAGAAAGGACTGGAGACGTTGGCTGAAAGAAGGAAGACGGCGGCAGCTGTAAAAATCCTTATATAGATAGATATTTATTAATAGCTTTCCATTTTTTAATATTAACATCAGTAAATGACTAAAATTTAAAACATGCACATTTCAACTTTTGTTTTAACTGATGCAGTTGTTTTGTTACTAAACTACATGTGAATATTTTTTGTTTTCAAGTTACAATTGATATTGACTATAATGAACACCTGTGATTCATTGTACAGTAATTTCCAGCCACTTCCAGTGGGGCAAAATTTCAGCAATGTAGCAAAAAAATAATTACTAAATTTACTAGACAGTTGGGACATGGATGAATAAACCCAGTATAATACTATTTTTCATCTGTTGAAAAGGTCATTTTTATTTTTCAAACTTCTAAGCTATCCACTCCCCTTGTAATATAATGTCTTGATTTATCTAATCAACCACAGCATTAATGAAAGACTTTTTCTATTTTTTAGAATTATATACATACAATGCATATAAAACACATTCTGTATTAGGTACTGCAATCAGGCACACTAAGTGCTGGTATTAGATTTAAAAATATTCTTAATTATGACATGTATAGGTTAATGCAAACAAAATCTTTTTTTGCTTAACACTACCTCTTACTTATGTATGTTACTTATATTTTATACAATTTATATTACATATTATTACATATTATTACAAGAGTGCAAAGTTTGTTGATACATTAACCTTTGTTTGTAATTTCCTGAGTAGTTATTTAGGCGGGAAACACAAAGACCACTTTCAATAATTGTCAATTAAAGTATATTTGATTTAGAAAATGCTACGAATTTTCTCAATTGCAGTTTACTTTATCAACAATCTTTGAACTATTTTCATGTTTTTACTAACTAAATTAGTATGAGTAAAGCCGCTTACTGAGTTTTCTGCTTCCTCCATTGGTTCTGAGGCACTTACGCTCGCCTCTGTCGAGCCTTCAGTTTGTGACATGTTGAACGTTTAGATCAGAATTTTGCAATAGGTTGAAACAAATGTTTTATTTGATTAACAAAGAAATTTACAACGGCATTACCAGACACCGCGCGAGATGTGCTGTTGCCCGCCGCCGTTAATTAAGTGACAACCTGACAGCTGACTCACTGACTGTCGACAATTTTGACACTCGGAATGTCAAGGTCTTTTTGACAGTCTATAATAAGTAGAAAGAAGATTAAACAAAACTTTTTCAATTCATGCTTCAACTGCCAGATGGACATAAGAAAACAATTGAAGGGCTCGGGGGAAAAAGCAATGACGTATAATATATAGACTCGGTGAACGCTTTAAAAAGTGTCCAAAACATGAATATTGTCTATTCGCTTAGCTAGGGCATATTTTGACAGACTCATTGTAGGAAACCTACAACACAACAATTCCTACTTCTCAGTATAAATAGCTCAAGTATACTACTATTGCAGACTTCTTTCTTTGAAAAAAAAGAAGAATTATTCTAAATAGTGGAAGTGTATACTAATCCCATCAAATTTTCCCTGTATATTTAAAATATAATATTTGAATTGTTACAATTTAAAATATTGTAGTAAATATTTGTATTATTCGCGTTGTTTATTTAATTTAATATAGCTTTATTGTTTTATTATCTTTGTTTATTTTTTTTGTTAGTTCTATTCAGTTAATTAGTTAGTTATATTTTAAATTTTATTATTATGGATAGTCAAAGTTTTCCATTTGTTCCATCAGCTAATGCGTTGGTAAGTTTTTCTTAATAAATATGATAAAATGTTTTTTAAAAAGTTTTTTTTAAGTTAATATTTTTAGATTAGTAAGGATGCTGTTCCTAGATTACAAGGTAATAAAACTGCACAAAGGTTTATTCAAAATGCCTACCATTTTTTTTACCGAATAAAAACCCTGTTGAGGTAAGTTGATCATTAAAATGTATTTTATCGAATTATGTAAATGTTGTAAATACATAAGGAACTTGCTGTGTCTTTTTCTTATTTAACCTCACTTTGACTTCTTAATTTTGTTGAATTTATTCCCACTTTTTTATTTTGTACAATAAATAATTTTAATATTTGTTATCAAAACATTATACGGTGTAAATAAATAAATATTGATTGTCGGCAAAGTTCTATTTTATTTACTTTTGTTTAATATCAAAGTTCTATTTTATTTACTAATAGCACGTATGCTTGGTTGTATAGTATTTTCCAGCCACTTTGAGTCTGTCAAAATGTTACTAACTTCGAAAAAAAAAAATTACTAAAATCACTAGACAGTTCGGACTGGGAATAGCGAATCGGGTATACCTTTGTTATTGTTTATTGTTTTGATACGAAGATACACGAAGTTCATGATTTCTTACGAAGCATCACGAAGTTGATCTTGTGTTTGAAAACATCATGGACGTATGAAAGCATTTTCTCCATTTTGTGTGACAAGCAAATTTTATTTTAAATTGTTGAGAGTTATTTACTTACTATTTTAGTAAAATGCCATACTATTTTATCAAAATAATTATTTCTCTTATAGATGGGACAAAAAGAAATCATAAATATTTAATTTTAATTAAAAAAATAATTATTGTCATTATAATATAAATGAACACGCCGCTGTTCTAATAAACATACCTTCAACCTTGAGCCGAGATCTTTCGGACACTCGATTCTATAGCGAGAATAGGGGACTGCGTAGTCTATATATTATACGTCATTGGGAAAAAGGTAACAAGCCACATAAATATAAAAAAATAGATTTCCTCTAAAAGATACCTGCAAGTGTGCAACAAAACTGCTGATCAATTATTTCAGCTATTGATAAAGAGATGACGCCTCTATACGCGAAATTCTTTCTTAACAATTGCCAAAATTCATAACTTTTTGGTTGAAAAGGAACATGCCACAGGCGATTTTCAAGATGGATGACTATAAATTACGCCGAGCTAAAAGAAAAGTTGATTTTGAGAGTAGTAGTGGAAGTGAATTCTCTGATTTTGATTCAGATGACGATCTGAATGATAAAGATTACAGTGTTACTGAAAGTGACTGTTCAACAGAAGGAGTTACACATATATTGGTAAGTTTATTTCTATGCGGCTTATTCCCTTTTTTAGCAAAAGATTTTGTTATTTTTAAGCTTAATATAAAATTTCATATTTTACCTATGTATCGAAATATGTATTGTTGCCTTTACGTACAATACGTCTACATAACGCAGTAATGTTGTGTAACTACGATGTGTACTGCGTTATATCTCCGGCTGCAGTATTTTTGTTCATATGCCTAGCAGAATTTCTACGAAAAATGTGTGTGGCTTATTACCTTATTGCAAAAAATTATACATCTTTTTTTTTTCAGGACGAAAATGAGTCCAACGATCCCTCGGATCAGAAACAAGATATTTCTAGAGGTTATCTAAGTTTTCCAGAAAATTCAACGCCCTCACGCTGGAGAAAAGTTCATTCTAAGAAAAGGTGACCGGAAGAAAACAAGAAGAAATCTGGGCCATGGGTACAAAACATACCAAGGGACTGAAATGGAACCTAAAGCTATTGGAGAACCATGTAAATGCAAACACAAATGTAGAACAAGCCTGATGGGGAAAGAAGAAGAAATTTTTCATGCATTTTGGAATCTGGGGACTCGACAGCAACAAAATAACTACTTATTTGGTAGAATAAAATGCATTCCCAAAAAAAGAAGTTACCCAAAAAAAATCAAACGCCAAACATCTTGTAGAAGTGTATCATTTAAATATTATATAAAGGATAATGCACGACAAAGTCTCAAATTTTTTGGCAGTTCATGGTCTCCAGCAGTCAAAAAAGCGGATATATAATATCTATTGCCAAATAAAAGAAGGAAAGTCTACTCCAAAATCTGATAAGCGAGGAAAACATACGAATAGAAAAAACAAAATATCCGAATCTGTCCATTCTGTCCATCCATCGACATATTCAAGCAATACCCAAATATTCCAGTCATTACAGCAGGCAAGATAACCCCAACCGCACTTAAATCAATCACGATTTGTCCATATTATCTTTATATACAGATTATTATATACCTTGGTGCAATGCCAAACATATTGTCCCAGTGAAAGAAAATTATTACAGAAAAGTTTTTTGCTCGCAATATAATATAGGATTTAAACTGCCAAAAATGGATACATGCCAAACATGCGATTCATACAATGTCTTGCTCGAATCAAATAAAGAAAATGCTGGAGAATGTCAACAAATTAAGCTAAAGTTAGAGTTGCATCAAAGAAGGGCTGGGGCGATGTAACAGGAATTGATCAAAGAGTCTGCAGATTAATTAACAGATCAAAAGGAAGTAATTTCTTTTGATTTACAACAGGCATTGCCAGTGCCGAATTTGACTGTGGAAAAGCATTTTATTTGAGAAAGGCGTGGATGTACAATTTGGGCATCCATAACTGCAACAGAGAGCAGGGTACATGTTCACTTGGACCGAAAATGTGGCAAAGAGGGGTAGTGATGAAATTGCCAGTGCACTACTGAAATATATCGAAATGTTCCTAACAAATACTGACAATAAAGAGCTTATCATTTACACCGATAACTGTGGGGTCCAAATAAAAACTGGGCTCTGATGTCAGTATATATGCAACTAGTCAGAGAAAAACAGTTTTTGGCTATCGAACATCGTTTTCTTGTAAGTGGGCATACGCGCTTACCCTCAGATCGTGATTTCGCCCTAATTGAGAAGAAAAAGAAATTTACGGCACAAATCTATCATCCCAATCAATGGTGCGACGTTATAAGAAAAGCCAAAAAAAACCAATCCATTTGAAGTTATCAAGATGCAACAAAAAGATTTTATTTCCTTTGACGAGCTGCAAAGGCAAACTAACAAAAAACAGACGACAGACGAAAAAGAACCTTTACGTTTTAGTCAAGTTAGATGTTTTAGATTTGAGGCGGATAAACCCAACACAATGCTTGTGAAACACTTTTTAAATGAAGAGTTTAAATCGGTCAATATTGGTAAGCGAGGAGTAAAAGATGGAAATCGAATAAAAAATCTAAGAGATCTTCCTCCAAAATATACCACATCTGTACCTCTTAACGAAAATAAGCTAAAAAATTTAAGGGAACTCATGCCTTATATTCCTTTAGTTTATCACGACTTTTACGTTGAGCTGGGCGTTCGACAACAGTCAACAGACCTCGCAGAAGATCCGGAAACGGAGAATTTTGACTTGGACGAGTAAAATAGAAACATCGTCTTAGATAAGAAAATCTTACAACAATGTCTCAAGAAAAATATTTTTTCTCTTTTAGTTAAGAGCAGTTCCGTTTGTTTTTTTTTTAGTTTGTAAATTGCTTATATTCAGAATAAAGCTTCATTTTAAAAAAATATTGTTGTGTTATAATAAAAACTCTGATTTAAGGATTTGATTGAAAGTTTCAAACTAGGTTTTCTCCATTTTCTGCTTTTGTGGCTTGTAACCTTTTTCCCCCAAGCCCTTCAATTGTTATTTGTCATGTGCTTATGTACTTTCCAGATCGTTTTAACTGTGCCGAATTAATTTTTTTAGGTACTCTATTAATGCTGGTACACCTTTATTATGAAATAAATTATAAAGCAATATCTCTAGAACTGCGATTTAAATTATTGATGTTATTTTTAGGGGATTATTTTAGATTTGTTGTCTGTATTTCTACATTTAATAATACACCATTTATCTTCTTCTAAGCTTTATTCTTTAAAGTAAATTGTACAATGTTGAAATATCCCTTCACCAGTATTCTACCACGTTCTACCTTCTACTTAACCTATATCTATCTTACAAACTAAATCTTCTTCTTTTTTATATATAATTAGTGTCTGTATAATATACCTACTCTCTAATAAAGATTTTAACGTAGAGTTGATATATATTTTAACACCCCTCCTCGTTAAAATCCTCACAACAATATAAACAAAAACTTAAACTAATCCTAACAAATTACAATGTTTCAAAAATGCACTCGTAAGTAGACCTTTTGTTAAAATGTCTGCCTGATTGTTACAGGATTCAATATAACATAAATCAAGAAATCCCTTTTGTAACTGCTCAACTATAAACTTAAATTTCAAATCTATATGTTTGACTC